GGTAAGGTCAAGGAATAATTTGTTGGGCAATTCCTACCGAAAAAAAAAAAGAACTAAAATTACTGTTGCGAGTAAACTAACGATCAATTATGAAGTTTTAGTCGAATCGACCACGCAACTGGAAGACAGGCTACAGTATCTCGAGTGTTAAGCAAAGGTAAGACGCCTTTTCTTTAATTATTTGATTCATCAAACTAGAAACAGAAATGACTTGGCTTTCAAATTTCTAAATTGAAGTAGAAGATGCCATACTGTGATACCGCTGCTGGAGAAAGATAGTAGTAACTATCATTAATTCAAAAATAAATAAAACTAAACTCACCAACAACTGTAATGAGAAGCAGATGATCAATTGGAATGGGCAACTGTAAACACGTGAATGCATCAAACCTAAAAATCAACATAAAATTTGACGAAAAAAACCCAGAGTCGCCAGAAGTTCTGCAAAAATATATTGCAATTTAAGAGAGACAGCAACAGTCCAACCTGCTCGATACGGCGTGACACTTTGAGCAAGTAAGAGCTGAACGCAGCTGGCCAGTGAATAAATCAACAATAATGCTCTTTTCTCTCTTCAAATGCGCATCCCAAGCCTAAAAAATTCCATTTTTAATTTCAGCAATTTTCTTTCTCAAAATACCTTTCACCCTTTCTAAACAGTCTTTTAAATACACACGCGGAATTGCAGCGTGTCTTCATGCTATCAGTCAAAATAAATAGCAACGTGCACCAGACTAGCCGGTGCGATCATGCATTTTTTGCAATTCAGCCCCATCGAACCATTGCCTATTAATGATTTCCATTGCTTTGTACTTTAGTCTATGCAAAAATGGTTGAAACGTTGAAAAATAGTTAAAAATTTCAAACATCGGCGCATGAAAACTGAATTTGAAACCTTGAAGGGTGAATATCTTTGTCCCGAGTTAATAGTTTACCCGCCAAATTTTTCACGAGGCCGTAGGTGATACTCGAGAGCGCGAGAACGCTGAATTTGAAAAGGCAAGGTTAAGCGCGGGCAGGGGGTCATTACCCCTAAAATTTCAGCTTTGTAGACTTTGTGGTTCCCGAGATAATAATTTACCCGTAAAAACTTTCTCTAGCCCGTAGGTGATACCGAAAGCGCGGAAACGCTAAATACGTATTTGTAAGATCGTTCGTGGGCAAGGGTTCACAACCCTAAAGTTTCAGCTTCATAAACTTTGAGGTTTTCGAGATAATAATTTACCCGCAAAAACTTTCACTAGCCCGTAGGCGATACCCGAGAGCGCGGGAACGCTGCATTTGAATAGGCAAGGTTGAGCGTGGGCAAGGGGTCACAATCCTAAAATTTCAGCTTCCTAGACTTCGTGGTTCCCGAGATAATTTACCCGTCAAAAATTTTCACTTTGGCCGTACATGTTACCCGGGGGCAAGGGAAAACTGAATTTAAATTTTCTGAGTAGCACATGGGCAGGGGACATGCTCACAAAATTTCAGCCTTCTAGCTTTCGTGGTTCCCGTGATAATAATTTTGCCTGCCAAAACTTTTACGGGGCCGTGCGTGCTACCCACGCGTACGGGAAGGCTGAATTTAAATCTGCCGCGTCACAGGCTAGCGGGAAACATTATACTAAAATTTCAGTTGCCTAGCTTTTGTGGTCTTTGAGTTGAAAGTGCGGGACAAAATGTGGGACACACACACACGCACACACACGCACACACACACGCACACACACACACACACACACACACACACACACACACACACGGACAACCTTGTGACAATATGTGTTTTGTACTGCTGTTACACAGCACAAAACGCATGAAAATTAACCAGAAAGCTTACAATGTTTGCTACGATCGATGTAGCTTACTGATCATCCTCACGATTTCCATGCTTTAACTAATCTGTTCAACCGAAAAAGTGCCGAACGGATTATATTTTCCCCATTATTTGTGTGTCTCTCAGCTCATTAAAAAAAAGAAACCTCTTCATGTTGGTTTTTGAAAGAAAGATATTTCCGTAGAAGTCTACCACAGGGCGTCGTACTACCTGCGCAAACATACTGGGAACCATATTATGAAGAAACCCTGTTCATCAAAACTGAACCGAATGTTTTTAGCAGTTCAAATTATGGTAGAGATTTCGGGAGGAAAAATGAAATTATCACTTCTTGGGCAACAACAGAATCCGGTCGGCCATCACTGTCGTTGAGCTCAATAAATGGTTTGCATTCGATCTGATTCAAGTCTTCGTGCAACAAATCGAGCAATATGGAGAGAAATTCTTGACAATCATGTTGCGTCCGCTCAGCGAATACTGACCCTGTGCAAGACTTAACAGCCTCCTGTAAAGAGGTTATCAAGACTGAGAATTCGACTTGTCAGCAAAAATAATTAGCCAGCGCAACGAATGCCGATGCGAAGATGCGTTATTTGCGTAGATCCCCGCAAATTTTTGTCGTTAACGGTACCGGTTTTCCAACAGATTCTTCTAACTTCAAAAATTGAGATTGGCCGTCAAGACTGTTCGGAAACACTCCCTTAAAATATCAACTTTCTAGTTTTACTGGTTTCCAACTTAGCAACTTACCTGCCGAAAATTTTCACTGGTTCGTAACTGGGAACAGAGCTTAAAGTCACCAATTTCCATGTGGACCGAGAAAATCCCCTTAAAAACTCAGCTTTCTGGCTTACCCACCAAAAACTTTGATGGGCCCGTACATGGGTAACACGGGGATAAGAGCGCCCATTTGCATGTAATCTTCCAAAGTTTCAGCCTTGTAGCTTTTTTAGGTCTCAACATGTAAAATCGGTAGGGACGAACACGCGCAAAGACAACCCCTCGACAATATGCGTTTTTGCAATGCACAGATGGAAAAAACGCATAAAAATCAAGTCTTCATCTTCCAGTCAACTGTCGGAAGAAACAATCATCAACAACCTTGCCACGACGAAACTGTTGTTGGCAAAATGCAATTACTTGGGCTATTTTTGAGCACCTTTACCTTGCATAAAAAGCGAATTATGGAAAGAGGATTCTGACATTTGCCATCATATTCTTGTCTGCATCAACAGATACGTCGGGGAATAAAATTTTACCCGCAGTTTGATTGGAGCGATGTTGCGTTTCTTGCCGGACCAAAGCTCTTTCACAATATTGCCGTATTCCATCGCTACAGTTCCTTTTGATTTCAACCTAGAAAAGCTAAATCCTACACGACAAAATAACTTAGAACTGGAAAAAACCTGGGACCTTCAAACTTAAAAAAAATAACCTTTTGATATCATCTTTATGTTTTCCACTGAGAAAATAACTGGAAAGGGGTCGAGTGTTGCTAAGACACTGCAGAGCGCTGTTCATATAGCACGTATTTCCCATGTTGTACAAGCCTGTTATCCCGGAGATGCGTGCCGAGTCGGAATTTTCTACGCCGTCAGCTTCGGCATTATTTTCCAGACAGCTCACTTCTTCTGGCCAACTCATATCAGCATTGCGCAGCTCCAAAAGCAACTGGAATTACACTTAGATTTTTATTAAAACTGAGGCTCAGAAAATATTCGAACACAGCACAAGCGTTCTAATGCTCTGAACGTATAGAGAAATCGAATATTATCCTGAAAAAGAAAAAACAAATTCCAACATTAAATAGGTGTG